ATCAACTATCTAACAGTTACTGAAGCGGTTTATTTTTTCTTTTTAAATGCTGTTTCTTAGGTATTAAAAAGCGACAAAACGTGAGCTGTCCAGTATCGTTTTTGAGCATAAACGTTTACTTACATTTCTGGAAAATTTTACACATTCTTCAAGAAATTTTTTGATGAAATACATCTGAAGCAGTTCTGGCAAGCAAATTTAGCTATTATTTTTTCCTTTTTTTAAGCATACTTTGGTAGAAAATAATTCCTTTTTTTGGCTAATGAAATTCTTAACTTAACTTCTAATTTTACAAAATTTACCCCTCAAAAAAAAGCCTTAGCAACTTTTTTTTTTGATGAAATTCTACTTTCAGTCAAACACCTTCTTCCTTTTTACTAAATTTTTACTCAAATTAAACTTTTAGGTTTTTGTTAAGCTAAAAAACGGAAATCAAATCGCAACAAAACTTGAGAGTTTGCTTAAAATAAAGCAGAAATTTTTAACTCTTTTCATAGAGTAACGTTATATCGTTGGGGGAACTTAACACGAAAGGTCACTCCAGCGGTAGTCAAATGAAGACATAGTATTTTAAGCCCGAAGTTGTCATCTTCTAGTGTTTGGTCTAACGATTAAGAGTTGTTGACCGACAATAAATAATTTTCTTGTTAAAGAGAGAAACGAATTTGTTATCGAAAAATAAAGTTTTTTACTGCAAAATTGCATTGTTTAATTGTCCTTGACTGAAAGCCAAAATAAGTTTTTTGTTAGCTGATATTTTTTCTTTACTTTTTGACTGAAAAGCCAAAATGCAGAAACACGTAAAAAGGAATCATTAACAGGAAACAGTCTGACTTTTGCAGTGTTTGAGTAAAGTTTTAGAAAAAAAATGAAGAAGATTTTATGCAATCATTGTTAGCTCAAAATCTGTTGCACAATTTTGCAACCCCTTAACCTTCTCTTAGTTTCTGTCCTTTCTTATCAAACGCTTGATAAACTTATGTTTCACCTAATACCTACTAAATTCCACTGTACAAGACATTTAATTTTGGAAAAAAATAACAAATTAATTGTTCTTCTTGTTTTTAGAAAGACAAAATTCTTTTATCAAATCATTTCTTTCAGCAACAAACACTATCTGTTATTAGTGTTTTATTGAAAGCTAACAGAACAGAGCTAGCAAACAATTGATAAATTAGAAAAACAATTCTGCATTGTCTTTGATGTGATGAAAAAAAAGGCAAATATTTCAGTCAGGAAAACGAACTGTAAGTTTTCTTAGTTTTTGCAGCACAAGAAAATCCTCTCCAGAATACTGAATTGCAGATAAGAATCGACTATGATACTGTTTAAGGGTAGCTTGCTTTATCATCTTACAGATAGACAAGAAAGAAGCTCAAGCTTGAAAATAAAAAACAGATATGCATAAATAAGTTTGATATTTATTCTTCCTCAATCGCTCTTTCTTCTGATTATTCAGGATATTCTTCTTAGTGTAATCGATATTTAAAAGATTATTGTTCTTTACTGTTTCAAGGATAATCTTCCTTAACATATCATTGAACACTGCTAGTCATAATTTAAAAGCTATAGCTTTGGTTTACAGCTAAAATAGCGAAAAAAAGCAAATCAAATAAACCAAAGAACAAATTTAAGCAGTTGTTAACATTCTGAATTCATTCTGGAAAACGTCAGCATTTCTTAGTCAGTCATTGTTGCGATTTATAAGCGGTTTTTTGATATTAACTTTTTCTAACAGTAAAACTATGAATTGTTTTAACTAAGTAATCAAAAATGTATTCACATTAAATACTTTGCAGTCATAATTTATTTTTTGTAGAAAAGAAATGAAGGCAAAAAATGACATCGTCTGTGAAGTCTTTCATTCTACTTGCTTTCTTGGAATCCATCTCAAAAAAAATGATTTACTTTTTCTTACTGTTACTAACTTTTGGTTCGTCATTAAAGGGTTTTACTGGTGAGTTTTTTCAACAGATCAGTTCCATACCGTTTTTGAAATTAATATTTCGTAGTTATCTTAAAAAAATTTCATACTATCTCATATTATTTTTGGCAAAAAACCGTCGAAGTTGATCATCAGTATCACTGCCAAAACAATTTTTGGTACCATTTTTTTGCTCACATTACTCTATTGTTATAAAATCAATTTTATTCTGCTACTACTAACCAGTCTTCAAGAAGGGTTCTGTTTATGACAAAAAGTTTTTCATCCTGCAAATCCAGAAAAGTAGAGGTTTTTAGAAGGGCTAAACCCAGAATGAAAGAAGAAACTCTGCTTTTAAAACCCTAAAAACTTCTATTAAGAAATAAAAGCGGGTGAGAAAAGACAAAAACTGCTAACTAAATATGTAAGGGACAATGTAGTTAAAAAGTATTTGGTGTTTAGAAATTGCAAAAGCGCAGCTCTGATAACAGTGTGGAAAGTGTTGAAGATAACAGCACTCTTAAATTCTTTAGAAAAAATCATATTAAAGGGCGTAAAAAATAGACAACCAAGTTTAATTTTTTCATTTTTGTAAATCGTCATCTTATTGACGAAACTCTTTTACTCTTGGTTCTTCTTTCAGTAGTGTAAAATGTAGTTATTTTCAAAACCGTAGGGTACAGCTGCTTTTTCTGGAGGCGCTATCCAGTGGCTGATCATTTAGTCCAAATTCAGTGTCCTACAATAAAGGACTGTTCGAGGTGTTCTCTTTCGAAAGACGAAAATGGCACTCAGGCCTGCAGGTACTTCAATGCGTTTACAGCAATCATTGAAATAAAGTTTTGAGTTTTCAAATTATAAAATTACAAAAATAGTTAACTGAATTCACTACTGCAATTACCAACCACCGTATAGTTAGTGTAATGAGATAAATTTGAAGCTGGTTCTCAGAAGAGAATATGTGTTTACCATATATGCCAATAAGAGGGTGTGGAAATGACGCAGGACAGATCAACGATCCATTGGATTGCCCACGAAGTATTCCCACCAGATTCGCTTATAACGAAACATTGGCTCGAAAAATTCTCATTTATGTCATTGGAGCAGTAAATAGTAGAAACCCTGGCAAATGCCTTAGAAAACTAAGGGATACACAGGTAACTCGGTATTTGCTCCAAATAATATTTGGATTAAAAGGAAAGAAATCTGAGCAAATAACTGCTATGCTCTACTTGAGTACCATATTTTGCAAGCACATTTCAATACACGTTGCTCTGCTGTAGTTTGCTCGTTAGGATGTTTCTGGTCAGAGCTTTCGTGGTGTTGCTTCTAAAAAGTTCTCCCTCATAATACCTCGTTTAACAATAGGACTGAAAACATCTTAGTGAGTAACTGCTAAGAATTTTAATTTTTTTAGAATAATTGAGCGTTTAACTCTATTCAGATAATAAGACATATTAAAGGAAGGTGCACTCCTTTGGGAAACGAATACTGTAGCAGTTTTGCAGCAGTATCAGACACTTATAGAGCAATTATTGTTGCATTTGGGTAAGAGGAACTACACGTTTCAAATTTTGTCCTAAG